TATGCCCATGATGATCATCTGACCTGGCTAACTGTGGCGGTGCAGCAGCACAACAGTGCTCAAACAGCCACAATTTTCCCAAGTTTCAATCCCACAGGAGTGGGATTGAAATTTGGGTCCTGGATTTTGGATGCTTTCTGTAAGATAGCCCATTTCAGGTGCCTTGGGACAAAAATTGTCCTATGACACACCATTTCACCCAGTTGAAGGTTACAGACATGAGAGTTTTAGTATATAGATATAGCACAGGTAGATGTCCTTTAAAATGGAGATATTCATCTTTGGAAAGGTCATTCGGAAGTGCCTTGACGTACAATTCTAACAATAAATTAATTATAAATCAATTGGCTTTGGTCTTTTGATCAATAGGGGCACATATCCATATGTGTGTATGTATCTGTTTCTAACATTTATATTTTCTTTTCTTCTCAGGAGCTCATCTAAGGTCTCCATCAGTCCCCCTCTCTCATTCTCTTTTCACACAGCAGCCATCTTTTAACAAATGTTGCGTTAAACCATAGTCACCAGCCTAATTTCCCCAAGGCTAAACTTGAGTGCTTACATGGGGCTTTTCCAAACAGGTACACAACCTCTTACCTTTATTCTATCTCAGATATGCATTTTCACGAGGCTTTCACTCTGGCCAAGCTGGATGCATTGCATTCTGCCTTCTTGTTGGAGGTCCATTGTAAGTCCATTGTGGTCATGTGATATTTCGCTTAGCAACCACATCGCTTAGCAACGGAGTAACGCCTCCCAATAGTGGATGTACAGTACATTTGAATTATGTAGTGAGAGAAATGTGTTTGTGTACATGTGCTTGATTCGTTGAATTGAAAATATTCTTTGAACACTGAAAGAGAGACATTGGTGAGCATCCTTGAAAGGAAGGCAAGTTCTTCCACAATTTTCATTTATTTAGAAGTCAATGAAGATGGGTGTTTTTTTCCCCCCTCCTCTTTAAGGAACAGTCTACAGTTTCAACATTTGCCCCTTCCCCACAGATGCCTATCCAACATTTCTGTTATGCTGCCAGTAAGATAAGATCCTGACTAATCCACACATTCTTTAACATAAACTGAATAAGTAGATAAATAGGATCTTTGCAACATGGAAAACATATTAGGTGTTTCGTTTTGTCCCCCCGCCCCCACCCAGACATTCACAGAGACCATTTAATGGATTTTTCCAGCAGGACAGTTAGCTTCTCCTCAGTCTAAATGCCAGATTTCCCCAGGGAACATATCTACATATTCAAGACAGGGATGGAGACTTTGCTGATCTTCCCCAGTTGAAGGAATTGCTTAAACCA